TTGGCACGTGAGAATTAGCACCTATTGTATATTATATTTTGTGTACGCATATTTAAGTAGGATAGCACATGTAAATGTAGAAAGCACACACATCCACGCGGTGTGTATGAACAAGCAGAATAAACCTATTCGACAACACACTACAGTGACGGCAAAGATTATTTTTTTTTATCGTCCGCCGTCTGCTGTCCGCCATCCGCCATCTGCCGTCCGCACCCACGTTTTACAGAGTCCCTTGATAAAGTCGGTTTACTAAATTCAAGGACGTGTTTAGGTAACATTGCTAAGGAAATAGACTGTGTGGTACTCGAAAACGCGAAGTGAAAGTGATTTAAAATAACGGATTTTAGCAAAATCGCGTTATTTAAGTCTCACGAGATATGCGCACCTCAAAATCGCGAAATAAATGTGCTGCGAAAATTTAATGCAATCTTACATCAGTTGTCCACCTAAATTGAAATTTAGGCCAAAAATTCATCAAATCCTTCCGATTTTTCCAACGCTTTTCTCCAGCGACAATTAAAACAAAAACAAACGCTCGCAAAGCATTTGGTCAATAGAGGGTCTTGAGAAAAATAAGGTATACCTTCATAGGTCATATTTTGCGAGAAAATTTCTAGTTGGGGGAGAAATAACATTTCTAACTGTTAAAAGTTCACGAAAAAAGTAAATGATAAATAGCTTAAGATGTTAATCCATAAATATTCCAGATTTTTTTAATTGGTGGCAGGACAGTTGCACTTGACCCCACCCCCAGAGATATTGACAGCATTCAGAAACCTCTGTGGCAAAGGTCTGAAGCGGTAGTCGCATAAATCGCCGCTAGAAAATGTTTTGCTTCGGAGTTCAGTTCGGCCGATTTTTTCTGTTTAGGATTCGTTTCTCTTGAACCTCTATTTTCCAATTACGGCAAATTAATTTCAAGGTGGCTTGACTTATTTTTAGTGAGGAGCCCTCAGGGGTCGGGAACGTGTGTTTCATTTATCAGGGACTGCGTTGACAGTTGTTGTGATGAGGTGCGCCAAGCCTTGAATGCTTTCACAATAGAAAACACAGCCTTTATTTTGGGGAGAGTTTCCTTGCTTCAAGCGAATTAAGAAAGGGATGTACATGTGACAAATTTTTTACGAAACTTGGCCCAAATGTTCCATGTTTGTGAACGTGCCAAAATGTGTGAGACTTTTTTGATATTTTAATCATAGTTTAATGGTATTGCGTAGGTTCCATTATAAGCGACGTTCATAAAAACGATTTTATAATAGTCACCCAAAAAGGCATGGTACGATCAAAAAGAAAACTCTCGAAGTTATTGTCTATGCTTTTGATGGGCCGTAATTCAATTTACTTGACCCTCGTTCATCGACACATCATCCTCAACAACAAACAAAGGCCATACGCGTAAAAGATATTACTACCCCTAAGTGCAAAATTACCAGGAAGGAAATTTGCCTACCTGGATATTTTCACTGATGATGTAGACATCTCCATCTTGTCTATCCAAGTAGAGAGCTGCCTTCTTTATATTTTGTAGATGCTGTGGACGTTCGAGATACTGGTCCAGCACCTTCATCCAGTATTCGTTTAACTGTTTGTCCGTAACGTCATTCCAGAACACACCCCATGGCCGAAAACGTGCGGTTAATGGCATTGCGCACTGCCTTAGTGTTGCCCATCTCCTCGCAAGTTACGTAACAACGCCTAAGAGAAGAATAATACACTTGGTTTAAAAGGTTATTCAGGTTGCGCAGTCCGAGCTACTGTTAGTCAACACCAAGCATTTCAATGGATAGGTGTGAAGTATTCTTCAAAATAAAAACTAGTACAGAACGCCACACTGAAACCTTTTAGGGTTCTTGTTTCGGGTAAATCTCACGTTCGGTGCTTGTTTTAACAGACATACATACATGAACACGATGAATCACGCTTCTCATATCACAGTACTGATTATTTTGTCGAATTAGAGACGAAATCCTGGCTTGCGTTAAAACAGCTGGTAAGGCGGCGTCAAAAACAGCTTCGAAATATTCTGTTGCCAATAAATGTAATATCTCGAAGTGGATAAAAGTAATCATATCACTCAGAACTCTGCAATAAAGGAACGAGAAATCTTGCCAGTATTTTCTTCAAACTGTAATGCCATTTAAAATTACTTTCACAGTGAGACTTACGTGCCAGTTATTTATCAGATCTTATCTGAGGTTGGTCTTAGTTTTCGAAGAACAGACTTTCTTGTTCCTCTTGGTGTGATGCCATTAGCTCAGTAATTTCATTGACAAGCAACCCCAAATGAAGGTTTTTCAGAAAATGAATAAATAAGCAGTTAAAAAAGCTTTTTTAATACTCACATGGTGATTCCATCGCTGCTCCTGGTAACTTCAA